GTGAGATGACGTATTGTACCAGAACTCGGCGAGGTGCAGCCACTGGAACCATCTATGTGGGCAGGAATGAGCAAAACAACGAAGATAGGTCTCCATGCACTGGTTCACTCTCTCGGTGGTTCCATCAGTCTGGGGATGATACGCAGAAGACATCCGGAGCTCGGTCCCCGCTTGTTTGAACATTTCCTTCCACAAAATACTGGTGAAAACTTTATCACGGTCTGAGACCAATGCATGAGGCAGCCCGTGAAGCTTGTAGACATGAGTCATGAATGCGGTCGCGACTTGCAAGGCTGAGAAAGGATGAGCAAGCGGAATGAAGTGAGCATACCTAGTCAACTTGTCTACCACTACCAGGATGCACGAGTAACCCCGAGACACTGGCAATCCTTCCACGAAATCCAGAGTAACCGTATGCCACGCATGAGGTGGAATGGGCAGGGGTTCGAGCAGTCCAGGAGTACGGATCCGTTCACTTTTGGATTGCTTGCACACACTGCAGTTAGACACCAGGTTCACCACATCTTGCTTCATTCCAGGCCAAGCGAACAAGCGTCGCAATCTGTCATGGGTGGCATGAATGCCAGAGTGGCCCCCTGTGGCAGTAGCATGAATGGCATGCAAGAGTTTCTGTTGCATGGCTGTATTGGCACCAATCCACACCCTGCCTTTGTAAAAGATCACCCCATCTCGAACAGAGTAGTCAGAGGCTGTGTCTCCCATCTCTTTGCAGCGAAGCAAGATCTCCTTAGCATTTCCATCAGTCTGGTAGCCCTGCACTACTTCATCCAGCCAAACAGGTAGAGCCACCGATATCGCCGAAACTTCTGCATCTCGTCGCGATAAGGCATCGACCGCTTTGTTCTCAACCCCTTTCCTGTACACCACTTTGTACTGCATCCCCATGAGTTTTGTGTAAGCACGTCTCTACCAGGGAGTCACTAGCCATTGGTCGTTCAAATGAGACAACGCGCTTTGGTCTGTGCGGATGATGAACTCACTCCCTTGCAGATAGGCACGCCATCGATCAACTGCCATCAAGATTGCCATGTATTCTTTCTCGTAGGTGGACAAACCACGGTTCCTTGGTCCCAACGCTTTGCTGAGAAAAGCCAGCGGGTGCCCATCTTGAATCAGTACAGCCCCCACCCCAAACTGAGAGGCATCAGTCTCAATTTCGAACGGTCTGTCAAACCGAGGAAGTGCCAACACAGGGGCTGAAATTAAAGATTTTTTTAGATGGTTGAACGCCTCCTCAGCCTCGGCCGACCACACAAGAATAGAGTGTTTCTTCAGCAGATTTGTCAAAGGACGACTGATGAGCCCAAAATCACGTACAAGTCGCCTATAATAGCCTTCCAGACCAAGAAACCCTCGCACTTGCTTAACTCCAGTAGATGTCGGCCAATCTCTGACAGCTGCGATATTCTTCTCATCGGTGGCGACACCCTGCTCGCTGATGACGTGTCCCAAGTAGGTGAGTTGTTGCTGGGCGAATTTGCACTTGGACAGCTTTACCTTAAGTTGGTGTTTGTCCAACAGTTCAAAGACTTTTCGGAGAAGTTTGATGTGCTCTTCCAAAGTCTCATTATGGACCAGGATGTCGTTGATGAACACTAGAACTCCATGCCGCAACAAAGGACCCAATACATAGTGCATGCCCCTTGAAAAGTTCCCGGACCACAGCACAATCCATATGCCAACACTTTGAACTCATAGTGCCCCAGGTGGGTTTTGAACGCCGTTTTGTAAACATCCTCGGGTGCCATACGAATCTGGTGATATCCCGCCTTTAAGTCCAGGCAGGTAAACCATTTGGATCCCACAAGCTCATCAAGAAGCTCCTCAATAACTGGCATGGGAAAACAATCCTTAACGGTGATGGCATTGAGCTGCCGGTAATCCACGCAAAATCGCCAGGACAGATCTTTCTTTTGAACCAGCAGGACTGGTGAAGCAAACGGACTGTAGCTGGGCTGAATGATGCCTTGATCCAGCATCTCTTGAACCTGCTTCTCTATTTCATCTTTCTGAAACGGACTGTACCAATAGGGCTTGATGTTCACTGGTTGAGCGCCAGGTATGAGTGGTATTTTGTGATCAAAAGGCCGAGCAGGTGGTAGGCCTTTCGGAGCCTCGAACAAGGACTGGAATTCGTCGATGAGTTTTGCTATTGGGGGTGGTATCTCCATCTCAGGCTGCTGTTTCTGCTTGTTATCCACAGCTTGGAGATGCACCAGTTGATGCACATCATGACAGCTCATCATGAAGTGCAGTTGATCCGTAGTCACAGGATAGCATTCTTTGGTGTGAGGTTGTATACCACTCAACGTGATATTCTTCCCATGGTGGTTGAAAGCCATTCTCTTGTCTCTCCAGTGCACGTCCATAGGACTGTGTTGCTCTAACCAGTCCATTCCAATGATCATGTCATAGCACCCCAATGGCAGAACCTTGAGGTCAGAAGTAAACTTGTGCCCTTGCACTGACCACCCACATTGCGTGATAGCATGGTCGCTGAGAAGCTGACCTCCGTCTGCTATCTTCACCTTCAGAACATTGGAGATCTTGTGCACTCCTTTCAAACGACCAGCCAGATCAGAACTAACAAAACTGTGCGAACTGCCCGAGTCGACAAGCATCAACACCTGCTGATTCTGAATCTTGCCTTGCAACCGCAGAGTCTGAGGTGCGACTGAGCCTTGCACTGCTGCCCTGGATATGGTGTGACATTCACTTGCAGTATCTGAGTGTTCCTCACCTGTCGAGCCACTGGACAAACCCAACACATCAAACATTTCCTGCACAACGTGGAGTTGCACTGCTTCTGCACACTTGTGCTCTCGACTCCACCTCTCTCCACACATGTAACAGAGGCCTCTGGCTCGACGATAGGCACGCAGGGTTGTCAGTCGATCTTCCACAGAACTGCCCCCCTTTAGCCCATCAGCGGCTGCTCCCCGACGTTCATCTGTCGGCACGGCGACCACAGGAGGTGGCCGTCCCGGAGGTGCTGGCAACGGCATGGCCCCTTTGAGATGGGAGCGGCTGCTCATGCCGTTCCCCGCGGTGCTCTCCGAGCGTCTTGGCTCCCGTCGTTTGGAAATCTCCAGCGCCTCTTCTTGTAAATAAGCCAACGAAACAGCAGTATCGAGGTCTTTTGGATTATGAACCAAAACAACAACGCGGATCTCATCGCGCAAACCATCCACAAATCGTGAGGGAAAAAGGGCAGGATCCCAAGTAGTGCTGTGGGCTAACAAGGAATGCATTATCTCAGTGAATTTAGTGGTGTAATCGGTCACGGAATCAGTTTGTTTCAAGTGAAACAACTGACGCAGCAGCACCGTGAACTCATTCCTCTCAAACTGCTCACAGACAGTGGTGCAAAAGTGTTCCCACTCCATGTGACGCAAATCGAAATCGCTGTTTTCGAGCCACACCATAGCGGCCCCAGTGAAATGCATCGCGGCGGTGTCCACCCAAAGCACTGGATCTAAGCGGAAAACCTGGAAGTACGACTCGCAATTTCGTTTCCAACTACGAGGTCGTTCCCCCCAGAATTGAGGGAAATCCATCTTAGGCCTCGGAATGATAGAGCTGTGGTGACGATAAGGGCTTCGAGATCGTGGAGGCAGAGGACCGCCAGATCTGGACATGCCCCTCAAAGGCGACCGCCCAGGTGCTCGGGGGCGATGATCGACCGAAAATTGACCCTCCGTGGAAAGGAAATTCGGAGATGGTGCCATACCCGTGACCGGAGGCGGGACTAGAGTGGTGACCACTCCAGAGCCGACCCCCCGGTGAGCTTGGTCGACGCGGTGGCCTTCTGGCCCTTGGAGGCTGCTGCCGGCTTGGTTTTGTGGCGCGCCTTCGGGTCGATGGAAGATGGGAGGCAGATCCCCCGGTTTGAGCCGGAGCACAGGGTTCCGCGCGATGACGTCCAGCTCCTTGCGCACCCCGTCCAACTCCTGCTGCACATCGGAGAGTGATTTCTCCAACGTGGGCTTCCAGGCGGCCAGGTCAGCCACCACCGGCTGGATCTCCGAGATGAGGGTGGTCGTCACTGCCACCGCCTTCTGGATGGCCTCGTTCTGATCCTGGATGGCCTTGAGCGCCGCCGCCATCTCCTCCACTCTCTGCTCCATCTCACCCGCCTGTCGCTGCTGGCGCGTGATGAACGTCGGCTTCTTCAAGTAATCCGGTAGCTCTGATACCATATGTTACGTCCCTCTTGCTCGATCTACTCAATTCATGGCGATACAGGGGAATTCGGGGCTAGGGTTCTTGAGAGGAGAAGGGGATCGAGAGCGAGAGGTTACAGGAGGTGGGAGGAAAGGGAAAGACAAGGGGAAGCGATCCACTCATTACCACCGTGCCCTAACACCTCGGGCTCACTCCTACTTATCGATCACCCACCAAGCTCCCAGGTGGCCGGGTCGAACAGCCTGTTGGGCTTCTTGGTCCTCTTGGGCCGGGCCTCCTGGTGGCCTGTAGTAGTAGGGGCCGTGACAATCTAGTGAGAGCGCACAGAAAAAAAAACCTTGCACAGATCATCGATCGGGCAGTATATACTCGTATCAACTAGTAGTAGTAAGCATGATTATTTATTTATTACTTATTTAAGAAAACAAAAACTTGGCCCACGCATCCACAAAGCTAGCTAGGGGCAGTCCTTTCTGATTTGGGGGTTTCCGGTGACATTCACCGCAACGCCGGGAGGAAACTTGAGCTTACCGCACAAGTTGTTGTCGGCGGCATCAAACACCTTGAGATTGAGCAGCCCAGAGACGTCTGGCAGCGGCCCGCGGAATTGATCGCCTGCCAGGTGGATCTCGACGAGGCTAGTCATGCCGGCGACGAAATCTAGAAACCCATTGTACATGCCGAGGCCAATAGAATCCTGCTGCCTGCTAATGTCGAGGAACTTGATCTTGCTGTTCTTGGCGAAGGACGAGGGCAGTCCGCTCTTGAGATCATTCCTCGCTAAAGAGATGCTCTCAAGGACAGGGAAAAGGGTGGTGTTGCCGAAGTAGGCCGGGAAGCGGCCATAGATGGTGATGTTGTTGGCCGAGAAGCTCCCCCATTATAACCCAGTTGTCGTCGAGGACCACGGTCTCCAGCGCGGGGAAGGAGCGGAAGAAGGTCTCTGGCATGCCCATGAAGGAATTGGACTGTAGGTTGAGGGTCGTCAGGTAGGTGAGAGGCCTTGGGAGGATCGGCATGTCGTCGCCCAGGCGGTTGAAGCTGAGGTCGAGCTCCGTGAGGTACCCGAGGTCGACGAGGTCGGTGCCGGAGAGAGTGCCGGAGAGGCCGGCGCGGCTGGCGTTGATGGCGACGACGTGCGAATCTTTGTCGCAGCGGACGCCTGGCCAGGTGCCGTCGCATGGATCCGCCGACTTGACGCCCCACCCGAGCGACCTGTCCGCGCCGGTAGACTTGGCGATCGCTTGCATGGCCGCCATCTCTATGTCGTCCGTGCGCGCAGCGGCCGAGAGACTTGAGACGCCATCGAGACCAAGCGTGACGAGCAATAGGATCACGGCTATTGACATGTTAATTTATCTAACTGATGATGAATAGAGAAGGGATTCTTCCACCGATACAACGCATCTGCCTCTCGCACCCTCGACCACTTATATGGTCATCTTGCATCTTGTATTGTTTATGGCATGTGCTGCTACCAAATCAAGAATTTCCATATTTTCGCACTATTAACGAAATCTCTATCATCAATCAATAAAATAAAAACAACTACAATTCCGATTGATATATGCTACTACTACATAGTACAAATCTTTTGCACATATCTCCACGTTATGGCGTGTGATATATGCTACCAAAAGTGCGTAGTTCATACCTTTTTACACATAATAATCACGTTCAATTTGATTAAACAGGTTGTGTCGTGCCGACCCACGTGCCCAACCTCATGGCCCAAACACGTCCCCTGGCGTGCCAGGCACGGCCAGTTTACCCCTTCCTTACCCCTTCCGTGCAGACACATCCCGTTTACCCCTTTGGTGGCAATTTCACGTCGTGCCATGCTGGCATGGTAAGCCGGCCTGCACGGCCCAAATGACCAGGTTTGCTTTGCACCGACAGCTCAAACCAAATTGGTGCTCGTTGCGATGGGGAAACACGAACCAACTTCATTTTGTTCAAAAAATAAAAACCTCGTGTGTCCTTGACAGCTCAGCTTACCGACACGACGCCAACCACCTCATCGGTGAATCAAGAGCAGTCACGCCTTTTCGGCTCGTCAGCGACTGGCTGCCGCTGTTGGTGAGCCGTTGGCGGGTGCTGGAGTACGACGTCCTAGGGTGGACTAACGATACGAAACGAAATGACGTAATAGTAGCGTAGATATACGTTCAACCATTGCGACGGATGAGGACCAGACAAACTACCGACGCAATCACATACTCCTTCCGTCCCATAATGTAAGACGTTTCGCGAGTTATAAATTTAAACATGCCTGGAATAGACAAGAGTGTGTTACGACATTATTGATAATAACCGGTCCGTACGTGTGCGAGTAGTAGAGTACATGCATGCATGATATGATGAAACATTAATTAATTACGAGTACTGCTAGCTAGCATGCAAATCCGACATTGGGATTTCCATCAAGGGTGACCGCCGTCCCGGGGGCGAACTTGGGGTGTCCACAAAGGTCGTTGTAGGATGCATCGAAGATGCAGAGGTTGACAAGCTTGGTAACGGGGAGGGGCCCGAAGAAGCCGCTGTGATCCAAGTGAGCCTCCACAAGGTTGACCATGTCGGGGATGAACAAGTCAAGGCGGCCGGTGATCTTATCTCGGTCGTTGTGCTGGCCACCGACATCTAGGTACTTGATATTGCTGTTAGCGCCGAAACCGGTGCCAACGGCCCCAGACATCCTGTTCCTCGCGAGGGACAGCCTCTCGAAGGCGGGGAACAAGGCGACGTCGCCGAAGAAATTGAGGAAGTTGTCATATTGTTAGCGGAGAAGCTGCGTAGGGCGAAGCAGGTGACAAGGTCCCGCTGATCCCACAATAGTAGCATGTCGTTGTTGTCGAGCGCAATCACCTCGAGGGCCGGCAGGGCGGCAAAGAAGCCGCCGGGGATTCTTGTCAAGGAGTTGGAGCTGAGATCGATGTTGCGGAGGTGCTGGTGAGGCGTCGACAGGAGCGGGAGGTGGCCGATAAGGCTGTTGAAGCTGAGGTCGAGGTTGGACAGGAACGTGAGCTTGCCTAGGTCGGATCCGTTGAGAACGCCGTGGAGGCCGGCGTGGGTGACAACGATGGAGGTGACGCGGCCGATCTCGTTGCAGCTCACGCCCGTCCAGGTGCCGTCGCACGGGTCGGATGAGGGGACGGCCCACCCGATGGACTTGGCGATGGCTTGCATGGCCTCAGCGTCACCGCGGCCCGCGGGCACGCAGACCGCGCCCCATGGGAGGCCGATGAGGACGATGGCCATGACGAGCACTCGCATCGTCCACATCTGCTGGTACGCCATTGCCCTGATGATTCGAGGTCTCAAAACTAGGATCTGATGAGCGATCGACCACACGAGGTGTGCCATCTATACCAATATAAAAAAACTCAAAGAGGCAGATCCAACTGATCTTGGCCATCAAACTAAGTCAATCCAACGACCTACATTGCTTCAATGGCGAGCGTTCGACGTGTTTAACATGTAGTTACTATCATACCAAATATTGCACTAATCACAGAGTTAACACAAATGATAGCATTTCTAATTTCACATGCAATTAATATATTGCCTAAATGTTAACGTGTGTTGCACGTGCGTTTTTACTAGTAGTTATAGTACGCCAGGGGTGTGTACGTGCCTTTGGTGACAGGTTTGGCATGCACCGTGGATCACGGAAATTCTATCAACTCCACATAGTCCATACCATATCTACACATAGTCCATATCATATCTTTGCAAATTCCATAATTGCATATAACTAACCTCTACTCCTAATAGAGCAGTTGGTAGTCTCGCTTTCAGATTTTTTTCGTCCCACCTCCCATGGTTTTTTTGGTACCTCCTCCCACATTCACTGGTTTTTTTTCGTAGATTTTTTTCGTCCCCTCCCCCACTTCATCGATTTATTTTCGCGCCACCCTCTTACACAACAAAAGAAATCTGAACAGATTCCATAATGATGCAAGTTATTTAGTAATGTAGAATCAATCACGAACAATCTCTAAAGATCAAATCTAAATTAATTAACCTTACCTTAAATCACTCAATCACATTAATTAGAAAACAAATAATTGATTTTCAGAAAAATCACTCAATCACATTAACCTTACCTTCACTCACGGAGGGTAATCAATCTCCAAACAAAGGAAACAATACATCGAGGGAGCAGCAAATAAACTCCCTTTCTTATGACATGTATATGGTCTTCCCTTCCCTCTCCATTGTCGAGCGTTCTTAATTCTTGAGGCTGATGCTCGGGCTGCATCACCGAGGACGGCGAGGCCGGGTGCCGCGGCACCGCGTTGGCCGCGGCCGGTGAAGGGGGCGGAAAAGGGCGGCTTCCCTGGCCCTGGCCATGACTGTGGCCCTGGGAGTTGGTGCGGTGGAAGCGGCACTTGAAGGACCCAGCGTGGGTGGCCGGCGCGCAGACGCACTTGGAAGCGGGCCCGTGGCCCGCGTCGGACGGCGCCAACGCCGACCAGGGCCACCTCCTCCGCATATTCTTGGAGCTGTGGCTGGCTGATTTACATGAAATTAATTCCCTCAGTTGTGGTGGCAAATATAATACACATAATCCATATTATTATGCACTAGCGTGTGTGTATGTGAAATAGATGGATTATGGTCCCGTACCCAATAAGATGGATATGTGTGTGTGTGTATTAGAGAGAGAGAGAGGGAGAGGGGGAGAGAGAGTGAGGAACATGGAGGGAGATAGTGTGTATGTGAGGATTTGATGGTAAAAAAAGGTCGCCAATGTCACTTGATATGTATGAGAATATTAATATTGAACTCTTAAATTTAATGTGGCCTCGTTGCAATGCACGGGCGTTCTTCTAGTTAAGCTACAGTACGCCAGAGGTGCGTGCAATGACACATATACCATGGCGTACCGCAAGAACATCTCTAATAGAAGATCTAGATGTAAAAATACAACTTTTGCATCTTCAGAGGCCAAAAACGCTGCTCCAACAAATGGTGTAGATGTAAAAAAAAACGTTGTTTTGGGCTTGTCCTGCTGTGCTCCCAGCGTGATTTTATGACTTGATTGTACTCTGTACTGATGTGTTGGATGCTTGGTTCGTTGCTTTATAATATAAAGCGGGAGAAACCTTTTTTCTTAAAAAAATACGTCTGCGCCTCCCCAAGATGTAAACTACAATACTTACATCTCCGCCTATAGGAGATGTATATTTGCCAACCGCCGCTTCCTTTCACTTCCCTCCCTTGATAAGACCGAGCCTCGTAGTGAGATCCGATCCGTTGTTGGGGCCCGATCTTTCACGACACTCCACCACCAGCAGTAGCAACCTCTCGCCCGTGCACGCGATGTACACGAAGTAGAGGGTTTGAACCTTGCGGCCCAGCACGAGAAAATCAATCTCGACGAAGGTACTCACATGCAAAACGTGGCAGGAAAAGAAATAGAACTCTGCCATTTATCTTCTTGACTGATCCCAAAACATCAGGTAATATATTTTCTATTTTATCTCTAACCAACGACTCCTTTCGTGGATTTGCCTTCACAAGATCTTGATGGAACCACGTACTGCCATGGACCCAAGTAGTACTAGAACATGTCGTCTTAGCTGAACCAAAAATAATATTAGTCCATGTGTAAATTGTTTCAACCAATTTTTGTACCTGATGCACTTTTGTATCTTCATGCCCAGTTTGTATCTTCTGTTCGATTGTGCCCAACTCAGTGTATACTTTCCTAAAGTGGCATGTGTCATTCTTGCATGTAATCAACACCAAAGACTCGACCTCCTTGTTACCTTCACTAAATTGAAATATTTTAGGCTCATGTATATCCGTGATTTGATGCGGTACAACATTATGTGTGGTCGTATCATCCTCTCCTCCTTGCATCAAAACCGTCCTCGGATTTGGGTTGACCTCTTGAGCAATATTTTCTTCACTCGATTGAATAACAATCACAGAAATTTCAGCAACTTGGGCCTTCTTCTTTTCTTCTTCTTCCTGCTCTTTTATCCTCTCAAGATGTTCTTTCCTCCAAGAAATAAAACGCTCCTCACCCATTGGCACGAGGCTGCACTTCTTACCCCTCTAGACGGTATATCTGTGTGTTTTGCAATCGTACGCGACATCATACTCTCTGTACCACGGCTCTCCCAATAACAAGTGACATGAAATCATCGGTGTCGGAATCACGTCGCACAAAACCTCGCAAAAATAATTTTCCAACAAAAACGGTACCTTTGTTTGTTGCGTGACAGTGAGCTCTTCATGACCCCAATAGAAATAGTATGGTTGTGGACGTGGCGTCATTGGTAGATTCAGTTTCTCCACCATCTCGATGCTTGCGACGTTGATCAAATTCATGTGATCG